GACAGGAAGGAAAGGGGAAGAGAGACAGAAACATAGATGACAGAGAAATATCAATCAGCTGCCTCCTGCATGCCCCATACTGGGGATCGAGCCTGCGACCTAGGCATGTGCCCTGATCGAGAATCGAACAGGCGACCTCTCAGTGCATGAAACAATGCTCAATCCACTGATCCACACCAGCGGGGAATTTATGGTTAATTTTCAACAAAAGGGCCAAGATATCCAATAAAGGAAAAAACAGTTTTTTCAAAAAGTGGTTCTGGAATGGAACATGACTATACAAAACAAATAAAACACAGAACATAGATGCTTTCTTCATACCACACAAAAATTAACTCAACTAGTCCACAGATTTCAATGTAAATTTGTAAACTATAAAAATTCTAAAAAGTATCTTTGCAACCTTGGTTTAGGCAAAGATTTCTTAGATATAATAATAAAAACACAATCCTCAAAAGAAAAAACAAAATCGATAAACTGGACTTCAAAATAACTTTTACCCTTCAAAGATATTAAGAAATGGAAGAAAAAAGCCTCAGACTGGGAGCAAATAATTGCAAATCATTTCTCTAATAAACGACTTCATTCAGACTATATAAAGAACCCATGCAACTTAATAAGACAAACCCATTTATTTTTTTATCCTCACCTGAGGACATTTTTCCATTTTTTGTTCAGATAGAGTGGGAGAGAGAGAGAGGAAGAGAGAGAGAGAGAAACATCGATGTGAAGGGACACATCAAGTGGCTGCCACCCGCACGACCAACCAGGGCCGGGGACAAACTGCAACTGAGGTACACGCCCTTAGCGGGAACCGAACCCGGGTCTCTCTGTACCGCAGGCTGACGCTCCAACCGCTGAGCCAAACCAGCCAGGGCCAAACCCATTTTATTTATTTATTTATTTATTTATTTATTTATTTATTTCCACTTTTTGTTCAGGTAGAGTGGGAGGGAGAGAGAGGAAGAGAGAGAGAGAGAGAAACATCGATGTGAAAGGGACACATCGAGTGGATGCCACCCTCACGACCAACCAGGGCCGGGGACAAACTGCAACCAAAGTATGTGCCCTTAGCTGGAACCGAACCTGGGTCTCTCAGGGCCGCAGGCTGATGCTCTAACTGCTGAGCCAAACCGGCCAGGGCCAAACCCATTTCTTTTTAAATGGGCAGAAGATTTGGACCCTTCACCAAATAGAGGTAATGAATAACAAATAAGCACAAGATCCTCAAATCATTTATTATAAGGGAAATGCAAATTAAAACCACAAGATACCACTTCACATACTAGAATGATTATAATCCAAAAGACTGACAATGTGGAGAAACTGGAATCCTTCTTTAATGCTGATGGGGATGTGAAATAGCACAGTGAACTGGGAAAACAGTTTGGCAGGGTCTTAAAATGCTAAAAGCATACTTACCATCTGACCTAGCAATCCCACTCCTAAATAGCTATCCAAGAAAAATAAAGCTTTGGTCATGAGTGGTCATAGCAGCATATTTAATAGCAGCCCCAAACTGGAAACAACCCAAATATCCATCAAGTAATGAGCAAGTGGATAAAAAAAATGTGGTATATCCATACAATGGAAAAGCATTATTCAACAATAAAAAGAAAAGCACTAACTGACCTGATAAAACATGGATGCACCTCAGAAAACATTGTGGTAAGTGGAAGAAACCAGACACAAAAGACTACATATTGTATAATTCAATTCATATAAAATTTCTAGAAAAAGCAAAAACTACAGAGACAGAAAGAAGGTCAGTAGTTCCTTAGGGCTAGGAGCGGAAAGCGGGGACTAACTACAAATGGACACAAAGTAATTTTTTGGGTGATGAAAATGTTCTATAACTCAAATTGTGGTGATGGCTGAACAGTTGCATAAATTTACTAAACTCATCTAATAGTACACTTTAAAATGGGTGAATTTAATGAAATGTATGTAATACTTCAATAGTTTTATAAAAATAAAATTCACTGACAGATATATGATAAACACAGCAAAAGCTTAGCAATTTCTAGGTGACAGGAATATAAATGCTCACTGTATAATTCTTTAACCTTCTTTGTATGTGTTAAATTTTTCATAATAGAAGTCAGAAGGAAAAAGTTTGCCAAATTTAATTCAATGGTAATCATTTGCATAAACAAATATCACAGTAAACAAAAGGGTTGACCCATATACTACTGCATTAAATAGTCTACTGAGACCTTTTATTTACTCCTCAAAATTAAAAACTCCCCTTCAGAGTTTTAACATAGTTTTAACCAAAGGTTAACTGATATTATACAACATGAATTTTTGAATAGACAGATAAAACTTCCACAGAGGTCTGTAATACTGATAACTTTACAATATTCTCTCTGACTCTATTTTGACCTTCTTGGTACTCCACTGGATGCTCTGCTCTCAGCCTGTCAGCGCCTTAAATGTTGCTGTTAAAGAAGGGACAGCTCTCGGGCCTGCCTCTAAGAGATCATATTCCCCCTGAAGCCTTGGTCAGTGTAAATGTAAGGCCCAAAGATAAAAATTCCTCTCTCCCTTTTCCTGAGAGCTGGAAAAGGTAAGAAAGAAAGGGCGAGTTGTGGTATAAAGTTCATTAAAGACTAAAGGGTGCCCTCAAATCTCTGGATGGTCCAGAGGCGGCTTTCAGAGTCAAAGATGTGGTCAGAAAAGAGGCCAACTACAGCCCTTTCCTCTCTTCACCTGTGCCCTAGGACCTAACCCACAATGAGTCAGAAGACTCTGTGGGAGCTTTACCTCCAGCTTGAAAGGACTATGGGGGTCATCTGTTGTCATTTATCCTAAACACTGCTCTGCTCTACCAACCCAATCTGACTTTGTTTTGCCATTGCATTTATAATCTCAACACTCTCAGATGATTCCAGATCTTTACTTCAGAAAGCAGCACTTAACTACATGCATGTCAAAAAGAATTTTGCTGCTGGTCAATAGTATTTCCCAAAGGTTACAGGTAAGCATCTTATGTCATCCTCTATATTCTGTGTTTAGGACAGATACTTAAAAGATATTTCCCACCCTGGCAAGTTTGGCTCAGCGGTTGAGCGTCAGTCTGTGGACCAGAGGGTCCCGGGTTTGGTTCCTGCTAGGGGCACATACCACAAAAAAAAAAAAAAAAAAAAGATATTTCCCTGTTTCAGGTCTTCAAACATGTTCAGGAGTTACAACCTGTGCATAGATAGCTAAAGGAGCAGACCAAAGCTGGGGAGTTAAACTCTCCTGTTTGTGTATGTCTTAAAATAAAGAACTTAGTAGCCCTGGCCAGGTAGATCAGTTGGTTAGATCATCATACTGATATGCCAAAGTTGTAGGTTCAATCTCTTATCAGGGCACATACAAGAATTAACCAATGGCCCTGGTCGGTTTGGCTCAGCGGTTAGAGTGTCGGCCTGTGGTCGAGAGAGACCCGGATTCGGTTCCCGCTAAGGGCATGTACCTCGATTGCAGTTTGTACCCGGCCCTGGTTGGGTCATGCGGGTGGCAACCACTTGATGTGTCCTTTTCACGTCGATGTTTTTCTCTCTCTCTTTCTCTCTCCCCCTCCCACTCTATCTGAACAAAAAAAAAGAATTAACCAATGAATGCATATATAAGTGGAATAATAAATTGATGTTTCTTTCTCTCCCTCTCCTCCTCCTTCCCCTCTCTCTAAAATCAGTAAAAAAGAAAAAGAATGGAGCACATGTGCTATACACATGTTTCCTCAGGAGGGTTGGGGGGCTAAGAGGTGGGGACCAGGGGAAATCCAGGATACCGGCCAATGATGCTAAGTGTTTATGAATGCTTTACCTGCTGCTACCAGCAAGTAATTCCTGACATGGTTAGCAAAACACAAGTCCACAGTATTTCACTAGCTTTTTTTGTTGTTGTTAATCCTCACCCAAAGATATTTCCCCACTAAGTTTTAGATAGAGTGGGGGGGGGGGGCCACTGACGTGAGAGAAATACATTGATTGGTGACCTCCCGCATGAACTACACTGGGGACAGGGATTGCACCTGCAACCCTTCAGTCCGAGGGCCAATGCAGGGCAGTATTTCTTTAGCTATCCGGGAGGTATTTCCTTCTATGATCTAAGTGCTTCAAAGACTAGAGAAATGAAATACTGTAAACATCAAACTGTTGGCTTAGAATGGAGTCCACCTTGTAAGATAAAATTTCTGAATTTGTGTGGCCTCTGAGCCACTCATCAGCAGGAGACAGCTGAAGGATTTCTGGAGCTTGTATAACGCAACTCCAGAAACAATCTGGTTATCAGCTCATATATGAATGTTCTATGACTTGCTGCCCCACTCATGTTTCAATTTCATTACGTGTCTTTTCTCTATTAGGTCCCTAAGCAGAAAGCACTGTGGTAAAATAATTTTTCAAATCATAGGTCCCCAAGTCCACCTGAAGTTTGTTAGTAAAGGAACCATACATTTCTTCTCTGGTTTCCACCAAACTCTCCCCTCCCCACAAAAAGTCAAGTCTCTATCAGACTTTTATGTTAATCATTGGAGCAAACACTTCTTGATCTCCTGACCACAAAGAACTTTAACATACCAGAGGGAGATAAATCCTGCTACTAAAGGGAACAAGTACTCACGACACTCTGGACCCTGTCTACTGCACAGCCAATTTCTATCTTTGAAGAAATATGTTTTAAGAACTTCAGGAAAAGTTAACAGTTGCCACTTGACATCCCGGAGCACTTGAATAGTATATGTTTATTACTCAAAATAATGTATAGAACATGCTAAATTTATGTAAGGATCAAGGCACATACTGAATAGCCTCTACTTCTGACAAGTTCCCCAAGGAAACCCATGGATATAGTCAGTTGCTTTTTCCTCTTTTTAGTCTCCTATAGCTGGTTCACTCTGTCCAGCAGTTAAGAACAAGTTAACAACACAGCTTGCAAATAGATTTCTCCCCCAGAACAAAGAAATCCAGCAGCCCACCAAAACTGTCACCAGCCCTTCCCACACTTACCAGTGCCATAGGGAGGATGCAGCTGATGGCAGTGAGCATCAACGGCCTGAAAAAATACAGGTGGTAGTTTCAATTTTTATTTAGAATTCTTACTTGCCAACTGCCTGAAATCTTTTAAGGCTACAAGAATGGGTCTCCATGCCTCAGCCTGTGTTAAGCCATTTTGTGATCCAATGACATTTGTTAACACTAGCAGTCATTCACTACACAGCAGAGATGAAGGAATCCTTCTCAGACCAGCTTCTGGACCTGAGGTAGAAAGGGACGTGATATAGAAAAACTAGCCTAATGAGATTAAGATGGATGGATTCAGGTTTTAGGGGATCAAGGGTGAGGGAGAACGGTACTAAAGGGATAAGAGGAAGAAACAAGGTTAAAGCAGAGACAAAGAAGTGAACACCAGCCTAGAATGGGAAAAATCAGCAGCAATGGTGGTGGTAGTGGGTCCCAGACCTTATGCAAGGCTTATCCCTAAAGTCTAATTTAAGTGGTAGGCCTTGCCCTGGCCGGTTTGGCTCAGTGGTTAGAGCGTCTGCCTGAGGAACAATGAGTCGCGGGTTCGATTCTAGTCAAGAGCAGGAATCTTGGTTGTAGTTTGTCCTTGGCCCTGGTCATGTGGGAGGCAACCAGTCTGTGTGTCTCTCTCACATCAATTTTTCTCTCTCCCTCCCTCCCTCCCACTCTATCTGAAGATAAATAGAAAAATATCCTTGGGCGAGGATTAAAAATAATAACAATAAGTGGTAGGCCTTCACCTCTCCCATACTTCACACCTACATACTCTCAGCCTGTAAAAGGTCCTCTTTCTGGCACTTGATCATAACTTTGCTTCCTTTCACTTTTTCTTTAAAGGTCTCCAAAGAGGGAGGGCTGACATGTAATCAAGGCACCTACGTGTTATATGTGCTTTAAGAAAATCTGATTAATAAAACAAATTTGAAAATTTCTCTCCAAGTCTAACCTTATTCAGTCCTACTGTGGTCTCTGATCATTACAAGTTTTTACGCAAAATACAATAAAGCAAAAATATAAAAGTCAGCATTCCTTGATCATAAGGGTACTTTTAATTATGAAAAATTCCAAGTATGAAGAGTGAAGGGTGGAATGAAATCCATGTACCCATTACCTAGCTACAACAGCAACTCATGGCCAGACCTACTATATCTGCACCTCACCTATCCCCTACAGTCTAGATTACTGTGAAGTAAATCCCAGCATTATCTTATAGGGTATATTTCAATGAAAATCCTCTGGGAAGTACTTAGTACAAAATGCTGGTTATAGCCCCTTCTAGAATTCTAACAATTTTCCAAGGGGGTGCCATATAAGCAAAATGACCATAATTTCTTCAAACCAAGGTCATATACAGTAACCACAACCAAAAGAAAGGCAGACAGGAGTTGCTATCCAATGAACTGCATAGTAGCACTAAAAGCCAAGCTTCCTATTATGCTTCTGCAGACACAAGGCCATCTTGTCCAAAAATGATTTCAAATAATGCTCTGTCTCTTCTAGCTACTGCTACTGTGAAGATGGGCGAAGGAGAAGGAATACCAAACACCACAGGCAGTACCACCCAGGTCTACCCCCACTCCTTCAGAGGACACCTCAGATGCTAACACATCTCACTGACAAAGCCACAGAGTCCAACAATATGTTTCAAAGACAGAGCTACCGACTGACTGCTGTCCTTAGCTACGCCGAAAACATACAATGCTACTTTAATAACCTTTCTGTGTATGTAAAACTCCATCAGAATGGAAGCTCCTTGAGGGTGGAGATTTAAAAAAAATATTTCCTGCCCTGGCCCATTTGGTTCAGTGATTAGAGTGTCAGCCTAAGACCAAAGAGTCTCAGGTTCGATTCTGGTCAAGAGCACGTACCTTGGTTGCAGTTTGGTTCCCGGCCCTGATTAGGGTCATGCGGGAGGCAACCAATTGATGTCTCTCTCTCACATCGATGTTACTCTCTCCCTCCCTCCCACTCTGTCTGAAAATAAATGGAAAAATATTCTCAGGTCAGGATTAAAAAAAAACAACAACAAAAAGCAATTTCCTGCCCTGGCCAGTGTGGCTGTCCTGTTGGTGTGTCATCTTATACACCAAAAAAGGTGGTGAGTTCGATTCCCCGTCGGGGTGCACACAGGAGGCAGCTGATCAATGTTTCTCTTTCTCTCTCCCTTCTTCTAAAAGCCAAAAACAAACAAACAAGAAAAAAAAAAAAACCCACAATTTTTCTCTGCCATACCCAAAGCACCTGGAATAATGTTTGTGGTCAGTACTAGGTCCTATATGCTAACACTTCCCTCTGCCTGTCTCCTGCAGTCTACTCTCAAGTTACCACATATTCACATGCTCCTCCGTAGCCCAGGCAGAAACCAAGGTCTTCCAAGCCTTCCATGCAGGAAGAGGCCAGATACAGCTCTTCTGAGGAAGGTTTATTATGCCCTGGCCAGTTTAGCTCAGCGGTTTGTGTCAACCCACAGACCAAAGAATCTTGGGTTCGATTCCAGTCAAGGGCAAGTACCTCGGCTGTGGTTTGGGGTCATGTGGGAAGTGACCAATCATTGTCTCTCTCTTTCACATCGATGTTTCTCTCTCCCCCCTCCCCCACTCTATCTGAAAACCAATAGAAAATTATCCTCAGGTGAGGATTAAAAAAAAAGAATGGAGGGAAAAGAGGTCTTGTGTGGGTTGAAGGAAGAAGAGAAATGCTGACAGGTTTGAGAAGGCAAAAATCAAACATAGGTTAGGAAGGAGTTCAGGCTGGAGAAGCCACTTTAAATTTTTCAACAGAGCAAGATAATCAAAGTGGTGCTTTTAGTGAATATATAAGAAAAATAGAAGTAGAAGTAGAAAAAGTTGTACTTCTTTCACCATTCTAAAAAAGAATAGGACAGAAACTAAAGGCAACGAGATGTTTAAGTTATTTTAGGTAGAGATTAAACTATTCCCTCACCCCTCCATGTTTTTTAGCATCTATCTAAAAGTTTAAAACAACAGAAAACACTCAGGAAACACTTGTTTATTGGGAATCAACAAATTCTTAACCTATACCAATTACCAATGAACAAAGAAAATCAAATGGCTCATAAAAAGCACAGTGATGCCCTGGCTGGTTTGGCGCAGCAGTTAGAGCGTCAGCCTGTGGTCCAGAGAGACCCGGGTTTGGTTCCCGCTAAGGGCATGTACTTCGGTTGCAGTTTGTCCCCGGCCCTGGTTGCGTCATGTGGGAGGCAGCCACTCGATGTGTCTCTTTCACATCAATGTTTCTGTTTCTCCCTCTCTCTCTGTTTCTCTCTCTCTCTCTCCCTCCCACTCTATCTGAGCAAAAAATGGAAGAATGTCCTTGAATGAGGATTAAAAACAAAAACAAAAAAAAGCAGTGATGAAAAAGAACAACACCTGCCACCACCACCCTCTCCAGTCCCTATCCTCCTAGTCTTCCTATCCAGGAGAAATCTCTATCAGTTATTTGTCTAGGTTCTTCTGGTTGTTACCAACACCGCTGAACACGCCCACAGTTCTCTACAAGACGTTATACCACTACCTACCTCCCCCTTCCAAGTCCAATTTTCTAATGTTTAGATCACTATTTTCTTTTTCTTTTTTATCCTCACCAGAGGATATTTTTCCATATTTTGTACAGACAGAGTGGGAGGGAGAGAGAGGAAGGAGAGAGAGAGAGAAACATCGACGTGAAGGGACACATCGAGTGGCTGCCACCCGCACGACCAACCAGGGCCGGGGACAAACTGCAACCGAAGTATGTGCCCTTAGCGGGAACCGAACCCGGGTCTCTCCAGACCGCAGGCCGACGCTCTAACCACTGAGCCAAACTGGCCAGGGCTAGATCACTATTTTCAATCCCTCCATCAATTACCCTTTTAAGACATTGTTTACAGGATCAGAATTGCATTTTTTTTCCTTGCCCACTCAAAGGAGAATGTTCGTACATTATCTTTATATTCATACTTGTGCCACATATATTTGCTTTATATTTATTTGGCTCATGATTTTTTTGTGTAGTTTTTCTGTTTTGCATGGGAATTGTCATTCCCTTATCCCTTGTAAAGAGCGCTATGGTTTCTTCACCATATCCCAACCATCTTCTTCATTCTGCTTATTACTTGGAATCTACCCCATTACTATTCCTGAAGTTGATTTTCTTGGATCCCACCAAAATTCTGTTCAAATGTGGGCTTACTACTTTGCACACCTGTTGTACAGGTAACATCATGAGACTTTTTAGTGGACTACTAGATTAATTCAATCATTTCTTGAATTCTTTACTTTCCTGTTTTTTTGTTTGTGTGTGTTTTCCATCTGCAAGTAAATATATCAGAAAAGTTACAAGGGAAGTAAATATTGGAAGTCTTTGATGTCTGAAAATGAGGTTATTTTGCAACGACAGAATTCTAGGTTCAAAAAAAATTTTACCTCGCCCTGGCCAGTTTGGCTCAGCAGTTAGAGCGTCGGCCTGCGGTCCGGAGAGACCCGGGTTCGGTTCCCGCTAAGGGCACGTACTTTGGTTGCAGTTTGTCCCCAGCCCTGGTTGGTCGTGCGGGTGGCAGCCACTCGATGTGTCCCTTCACGTCGATGCTTCTCTCTCTCCCTCCCTCCCACTCTATCTGTACAAAAAAAAAAAAAAAAAAATTTTACCTCAAGACTTTGAAGACCGTTGCTGTACTGCCTTTTGGTTGTCACTGTTGCTGATGAGACATTTGGTTCCCATTGCTTTTAGAAGAATGGTATATCTTTATGGAAACTTTTATGGTTTTCTGTCCATCCTTGTTTTTCTGAAATATCAGTGACAATTCTAGCAGTGGGTCTTTATTATTCTGGGCAATGGATAGACCCTTTCAATATAAAGACTGCTCTTCAGCTCCTGATAATTTTCTTGTAGTTTTTAGTATTTTCCTTCTTGCAATTTTTGGTTCTCATTTCCCAGAAATTCTAGTAGATGTTGGATCTCTAGATTGATCCTCTATGTCTTTTTTTTTTCACATATTTTTTTGTCAGTTATTTTGGCTGTATATTAAAAGCT